CGTATTGGCTTTGTGCCTTTGGCCATGTAGAGCATGACTCGTATAACTTCTGGTATTGGCATATGGCTATGTAGGACTGAAAGTCTGTATATTCTAGCAAAATGATAATCCAAAATTGTATTTTCTGTGCCATTTAGGCTGAAGCTTTATTGATGTATATCAAGTTGAAATTGATTGTTGGTTGATATGGAAAGTCTGTCATATGATACACATATGCCTTTGTTGTTCTTTGTCCCTCTTTGCTTCTGTCATATTGATATGTATATGGCATATCGTTATATTGTAACTGTTATTGAACTCATTAAGCGTCACCCGCCTAACACTCTCAATGTTTAAACTATTGCAGGTGATAAGCATCAAGTATAGTCATGTACTGGTAGAAGATGTAGAATAGATAATATTATAGCTTTTGTATTGTATTCTTGGGAAAGTATGTAATATATAAAACTTTGTAAAAATCTTAATAGTCGGTTTGTATCCAGTCTACGTAATTAAACTATCAATGTAAAATATTGTTTTATGAATATGCATGTAGCATGTTTTGGAGTAACTTGGAGTGATACCACGGATTGGTATTTAGACTTAAACCGTTGGGAGTTCAATATATGAACGGATTCATTAGGAGTATATGGATACAAATCATAGGAAAAAATTTAAGTAAAGTATTAGGTAATAATAAATCCTAATATTCTAAATACTATGTTGCTCCAAATTTTCAGAAGAATGGCTGAACAGGAAGGTAGCCATACACCAGAAGTGGGTGGAGATCCTAAACCTGGTGAAGTAAATAATCCAGTATCCCCTCGTGAGGAGCGACTCTTGGGTAAACTTACTGGTATTATTCGGCAGACTCTCGAATAACACAAAAAGAATGGTGATTAAGGCAAAGAGAAAGTCACCGGAGAATCTTCAAAAGGAGAGATGAGACGTCCCTCATTCAAAACTTTCAAGAGTAGTGGTGCTATAGAGTTTTCTGGTGTCCTTAATCCCATAGTTGTTCTAACTTGGATTTAGAACATAGAGAAAGTATTTTGTATCTATCATGTGGATAATGA